TAAATTGTACTATGAAAATCAACCCAAAGAAAACTCTTCTACCTTACCAAAAATATCTACTATCTCTTTAGACCTAAAATAAGTTTGGTCCAGATAAAATTAATGTTTCAAATATATTGGTCACCACTATACCTTTTTAGAGAGCCAGCATGGCATAGTGGTTTGCATATTGGACTGCAACTCTGGAGACCAAGGTTCGATTCCCCACTTGACCATGAAACCCACTGAGTGATCTTTGGCAAGTCACATGCTCTCAGACTCAGGAGAAAGCAATGGGAAACCTCCTCTGAGCAAATCTGGCCAAGAAACCCCCATGATAGATTTGCCTTCAGGTCGCCATAAGTCAGAAATTATATGAAGGCACACTGTATGATTGCATCTTCATATATCTGCTGAAGTGGACTGGAGTCCACAAAAGCTTATGTTAGAAGTTTATTTTACTTACTTAGTCTCAGAGGTGCTAAAGGTTGCTTTATATGGGTTTTTTAAACCATTATGTGCTGGTGATGTAATGCAGATAATGCTTCTTTGTGACGTGATATGGGCACTTTCAATGATTATTCCTTTCTGACTAGTTAAGTGCATTACATGTTAATTTTATATTGTGGGGAAACTGGCATGTGTGGTTGCTCATATTCAATTACATTTTATTCCTGTGATGTGGAATTTTAATGTATGGCCAGTGTGGTTGACTCCTTCTTGGTTTTATTGTTGCTAAAAGATTTATACTCCAAAGGCAGAAAGATAGACATTCCACTATTGTTTAGCAGTAAGATCTTATTCTTCTGGCTACTTGTGTGTAGTTTATATATGTCTACTACTATGGAAATGTATTTTCATACATATTTTTAGTATATCCTATTTATTACCCCTCTATTTTTTTCTGTTTCTTCCTCATCTTTGTCCATATGCATCTGAGGAAGCAGGCTTTAGTCTACAAAAGCTCATGCTGCCAACTTCTTTCTTTCTTTCTTTCAGTTAATATCAAAGGTGCTACAAGATCTCCGTACAACACACCTGCACAACGTGGCAGTAAGTGGGGGCCAAAATTAAAATAGGGTAATCTTCTGGCTGCAGATAGTTTTTAATTAAATATTAATTAATTAATGATAAGAATTAATATTAATTCCATCTCCTCTGCCCGGCCCTCTCCTCAACAGAAAGCTGAGCAGCCTTGCCTGTCTTCCACCTGGACTTCTCCTGGGAAGAAGGCTGGGCAAAGGAGGAGCCTTGAAGGTGAGCATTTGTCCATCCTCCTCTTCCACCCATCCTTCTCAGGAGAAAGCCGAGAAGTGGAGGAGCCTGCAGGGTGGGTGTTTGCCCATCTTCCTCCAGCGCTGCCACCTGGCCTTCTCCTCAGGACAAGGCTGGGGGGTGGAGGAGCCTTGCAGGGTAAGCATTTACCCATCTTCCTCCATTGCCACCTGATCTTCTCCTTGGCAAAAAGCCAGGCAGCTGTGGAGCCTTGAGGAGCAAAATTTGTTCATCCTCTTCCTCCTCCTCCTCCCTCATAAAGAAAGCTGAGCAGTGGAGGAACCTTGCAGGGCAAGTGTTCACCTGTCCTCCTCCTCCGTCCATTCTGCTCAGGTGAAAACCAGGTGGCAGAGTCCTCCTCCTCTGCATACCCTCTCCTTAGGAGGAGACTGAGCAGCAGAGGAGCCTTGAAGTTGTTCCACATCCTCAAGGGCTGCCCAAAATCCTTTGGTGGGCTGCATGTAGCCCCAAGGCTGTATGGTGTGCAGAAACATACTGATTCAATAGACTAACACAGCTATATCTTTGAACTCATCTTTGTCATTTTTTCCTTTTATTTGTAGTTTTACTTTTAAAATACATTTTTAAAAAAGGCCTCTGGCTTTGGTTCATTTAATAGAATGTGTGATCATAAGCTCAAAGCAATAGGTAGTCAAGTAAAAGACCGGGTGCTTTTAGCAACCTTTATGTACTCAAAGCTACATTGGATTCTTCTTTGAGACAGAAGATACATAATACTACCAATCAAAAGGCATTCTGCTGTTATTTAGTCTTATCCTCTTTAATTGATATTGTGATGAATTCATTGAGATGAAGTGGGGCAAAACACAGGAGGGCTGCAAATTGAAAATGATGACAGCTGGACCACCTGCAAAATGATGTAAATGAAGCATCCCCTTCATTTATACAGATGAACTAGGAGTAAGTTCAGGTTGTTGGCGTTGTGTGCCTTCAAGACCTTTTTGACTTGTAGTGCCCTTAAAGTGAACCTCTTGCAGGGTTTTCTTGGCAAAATTTGTTCAGAGGGGGTTTGTCTTTGCCTTCCTCTGAGGCTTGTGACAGGAGAGTATCAGTTGCTCAAGGTTACACAGGGGATTTCCATGATTGATTAGGGATTCGAACCCTGGTCTACTGAGAACCATTTCTTAAGCCAAATGAGTTCTCTAGTTCAAAGGAAGCCTTCCTTTTACTTTCTGTATGGTAAGGTATGATAGAGTGACAGGACATAAACAATCTTGAAGTTATCTTTCTTGTGCATGCAACTGTGCAAAATGTGATAAGGGATCATGCAAGCCAGAAGAGTGTTTTTATTTTTCCTAGACTGCATTTCTTGTACAATTTTGAATACTAAAGAAATACTTTCTGTTTAATTTCCAAATAACATGTATTTTAAAATACTATTGAATACATATTAAAATAGTATGGGTGTGAGATAATGAACATTTAACAATGGATTATATATTTTCTCATTATTATTTATTATATATTTCTAATTATATTCTAATTCTAATTCTGTATTTCTCCTTTACTATTTTTCAAAAGAAAACAATATGCTCGGTCAATCAGAGCTAAAAAGATAAAGGAAAAGAGAAGTGAGGGAAGAAAAGGTGGAAGAGAGGCACTGCAGCTTTATTCCTTGGAGCTATAGTATTCAGAACTGGTAGGCATCAAGTAATTTATATGGGAAGGGATCTTTAGCAGGGAATGTTTTCTGCAATAATTTTTTTTTTTTACATGAATAGTTGGTTTTGAACTAAAATATTTTTCAGTCCCTTTCAAAATATGAAATCTAACATTTCCACATTGTTTTCTCTTAAGTTATTTTTTGAATTTCTTGTGGGCTCTTTTTGAATATCCTTAATATAGCAAATCAGAAGAGGCTATTTTAAATAATAAATATATTTTAAATCACAATGCAAGTAGTATATATGCACTATGTATTTGGGAGCAGTGAGAAAAATACAACCTCACTCCTTCACCTTCAGCTTCATTTGTGGGGGTAAACT